CTCACAGATGGCCAGCACACAGGCCCCCACTCCTCAGGGCTTCCTGGGTGTCCTGGAGATGTACTGCTCTATCCAGCGCTTAAGGATGAAAGGTGCTAATGTGATTATTTTTATATCGAACCACAAACTGTTAGGCTGCAAATAACCATCAGAAGTTAAAAGTGAGAACTAAACATGCTCATCCAGAGAAGAACACACCTAATTTTAGAAAAGCTATTTTTTATTTTGCTTTTATAACTTGGGTGAAAAAGGGAAGCATTATTATCTTTTTAAAATCTCCTATATTGATAACAACATCTGGAGATTTGGGTTTTTTAGGAGACTCAGAACTGGTGGCCATTTTTGTGATTGCTCTAAATGAACGCAAAGGTAAGTGAGAATCTGGGAATGGGGAAAAACCCGCAAAAATTCTGAAATAAATATTTTGGAGTTCTGCACACTTAGTGACTCCACACCGGCAGTATTGTCCCTGTGAGTGACTTTGTCAGAGCAGAGGAAATGTGGTGGGGGTGGTTAGGACAGGACAGAAAGTTCTGCCCCCTACAAAACCACGATCGTGTTCAGTGGTTTCTGAGAGGCTACCAACTGCTAATTAGACGAGACATTCAAAGTGACTGTTACCACACTATGCTACATCAAGTATATGGGCGCTGCCTCTTAGCAACTGCTATTCTGAACGAAGTAGGCTGGTTTGGAGCTGAAGGCCTCCTCCAGCCAGATGTGTGCCTGCGGGCGGAGGCTGTGAGAACGGCCCCGCAGAACCCGCTGTCTTAGTTACCTTTCTCGTTGCTGAGACAAAATACCCAACACCCAAAGGTAAAGGGGGCAGGTCTGTGTAGCTCACAGTTTGCAGAGGTTTTAATCCGTAATCGGCTGGCGCCAAGGCAGGGTGGCGCGGCAGAGGGGCGGCTGTTCATGGTGGCGGAAGACAGCAGAAGCAGCAACGGAGACAGGAGGACAGACAAGCCTCTTTCTGTCCCTTACGTTCCACGCTGTCCGTGGACTGAGCCGGTCAGTGACTGACCCAGCCATCATGGCCCTCAGCCCCAGCACTGCACCTCCGATCCCTCACACACTCTAGATCCAGCCCCCTCCGAGAAGCCCCAGGACCGCACGAGGCTTTGGGGGCTGTCCACACAAACCCCCGCGCATGTGCTAGAGGAGAACAGCAGCAGGGAGGAGCTGGGCCCCCGGCCCAGACGGAAGCCACACGCCTGGCTGAACCATCACCACCGTTTACCGGCTGTGCGGCCTCAGAGCGGGGCCGCCCCTGCAGCAGCTCCATGTCTCCACCTGCAAGACGCAGGCAGTCACGAGGCCGCCCTACTGACACTCCGTCCACGGCAGCTCCTTCTGTGTTTCTCTTCTCTAACGCGACTCACAGTGAGGAGAATCTCCGACAAGCCAAAGCACCTGGATGAGCTTGTCCCACCAGCCACTGCAAAATTCAGCCTCTCCTCGGAACCCTGTTCCAGTGCCCGTGAAGCTGTACCAGAGAAGCCCTCTAGTTCGTGACGGTAGATCTGCAGCAGTTAAAAATGAGGCAGAAATGTCAAAGCCTCTGAAATGTTCGTTACTGTACCACATATGAATACATGGATGGATCTCCATGGTTCTCCCTCGGTTTTTTGTTTGTTTGTTTGTTTTCCGGTACCGGGAATCGAACTCACGAACTTGCACTTGCCAGGCAGGTGCTGTGCCGCTGACCTAAATCCCCAGCCCCTCTCCCTGGGTTTTTAAAGCTGTTACATTATGTAATGTGTTGGTTGCAATGTGTATACTAGGACTGATTGATTTACTATTGTCTTTGGGCTCAGGCCAGTGCAGAGTTAGTGACTGAGTCCAGCACGACATTATTTCCTGGGAAAAGCCAGTGACTTAAATCATTTTGCCTCAAGGAACAGAAAATGGGCATCAAGGCATCCCCAGCCCTGCTGAGGCTTGGGTTAAAGAAAGGCTGGGGGGGAGGAGACATGACTGGCTAAGAGGCCATGAGAAGGTCATCAAATTCCCAAAAAGACAAAAGTAACCCAGCTCTTGGGTTAGCGGGGGGCCGCAAGCGCAGGCATGGTTATGCCGTCCCCGTGAACATGCAACATTATGGCACTGTCTCCCCTGCGACAGCCAGGAGGACACGGCTACACACAGGAAGATCCAGAAGGGAAACCCGAGCCTGTGATTTCTTACTGACCCCTGCTCTGTGCAGGAATTTTCTCAAGTGTCACTCAGCGGGGAAGTTATGCTCTTCCTGCCAGGAGCCAGACGATGTAGGAGGCTCCGCCCGCCTGCACGGGAGAGTGGCTGGCCAGCGGCTGCCCCGCGTCCTGCCTTGAGCTTACTGGAGGGGTCCGCCCTGACCCTGCTGCCTGTCAGGACAGACCTGGAGCCGTGAGCTAGGAAAAGCAGCTGTTAGAGCTAGAAAGCCCTGCAGACAAGAGTCTGCATTCTGATGAGCACCACCGGGCCAAGGAGTGCCAGGACTGTGCCAGAGGCAGAGAAAGACAGGCACCGTGGACAGACAGGAAGGCAGGGAGGCACTTCCCAAGTGACACACACTGGAGAGCTTGCCTGCCCTAGGAGGCCCCCCGCGGCCCCACGCTCTTATTCCGGGCTGTCCCTAGGGGGGGTGGCACAGGGTGTGCACCCTGGGACAGGTCGCCTGCGAGACTGACTGGGGGTAGCTGCCTAAAGCAGTGGGTCAAGAAGGAAGAGAAGTGTGAGTCTAGACTCAAGTAACAATCCGTCTTGGTTGGAGAGCGGGCACGCAGCGTGGGTGTGGAAGGGAAAATTAGCATCCCCAGGAAAACGTGGGTCTCAACTGGTGGGTGAATCACATTCGCTCTCTGCTGACAAGGAGAGGCGCTCTCAGCGACTCGGGAACAGCCTTCCCCAGGTGGCGTTGTTCTTGCTATGAGTCCGAGGACTTCTCGAAGCCCTGATCAAGATTGTTATGCGAGACAGGCAGATCCTTGAACACAATCCTCGCAGTCACCAGGACCAAGCAATTGCACAGATGCTGAGCACTGGCCCTGGGGCGCATGCTCAGCTCCATGGGCTTCCGAGCGAGGGCGTCATGGGCTGGCCGCGTGCACACCTCAAGCTCAGGGACGCAGGCATTGCTGCTGGCTCTGTGGGATGCTAATGGAGAAGGCTCACTGCAGCCAGCACCGACCGCTCTGGGACTTCCGCTTCTTTCAAAGGCCACAGGGCTAGCCAGGCATGGTGGCGCCCGCCTGTAATCCCAGCATTTGGGAGGCCGAGGCAGGAGGATCGTTACAAGTTTGAGACCAGCCTGAGCTACCAGCCTGAACTGCATAGCAAGACCCTGTCTCAAAAAGACAAAAAAAAAGACCACGGGGTGCTGGGTTTCACCTCCTCCGAGTGGGAGAAGGGTCCTATAGTTACAGATGGAGAGGAAGAGAGGCCGTGCACACCCAGCTGATCAGACAGACTCCGGCCATGTGTGAAAGCAGGGCGTCACCCTAAGGGACACAACCGGAGGACCGAAGACCTGGACTCTCCCCAGACCGGCCTGCGTGCCTGCTGAGCCACACTGCTGACCTTCGCTGTGCCTCTGTGGCGTGCGTGTGCTGCAGGTTTAGAACCTGAATGTTCACTCAGTTTACCTGACGCTGAGTAACATTAGGGGCAACGACAGGTGCGGTGGCTCACAGCTGCCGTCCTTGCTGCTCGGGAGACGCGGGCGGGAGGGGCACTTGAGCCAGCCTGGGCCGTACAGCAGCCAGGCAAACAGGAGTCAGCACTCATCCTGAAATGCAGACGTGGAGCCCAGGCTGGGCGCTGCGCTCAGTGCATCCCCGTGTTCTCATAGTTAACCTTTGCAACACAGTATCAAGCACATCGGGGCTGTGCGCTGCCGGGCGCTGCTCCCACCACCTCGCAAAGACTAACGTGCTCAGCGCTTACCAAAGCCCAGTAAGACAGACACTGAGATTTCATGGAAAAAACAAAGCGTGATACAAAGATTTCATGAAGAAAACAAAAGGATACTTTTTTTGAGGTGCTGGGGATTAAATTTGGGGCCTTTGCATACACTTGTATCCCCAGACCTTTCCTGATTTTTTTATTTTGAGATTGTGTCATCAAGTTTCCACACTGCACAGGTGGGGCTCATGATTGTAATCCTCCTGCTTCAGCCTCCCAGAGTGCTGGGATTATAGGCGTGCACTACATCATGCCCAGCTGATAGGAGGGGACACGACCAAGGCCACTCATGCGCAGAGGTGGCAGAACCAAGACAGAATCCAGGATCTTGCAATGAGGGACCCAGGGGGCAAACTCATTTGCACACATCACAGAGCAAGGCCTCGGAGAAGCCTAACTTCCAAGTCTGAGCTCCCCACCAGGCTCCCATCCATGCCGAGGCCGGGCCTGCTGAAGATTTTTCCTCTTGTCCATCTTTACAGGTGAGACCATACCACACTGCCCAAAGAATCCGAGGAAATCTGACTATTTCTGACATTCAGTTTTCAGACACGGCAAAGGCCTGCTGGAAGAAGGTATCTGAATTCTCTGATTTGCCTTCTAAAATCCTTGGGTTCCCTGCAGACACTGCCGGGGCCACGTCCCCATGAGGAGATGGGACCAGGTGTCTGAGATGCCAGCTGCCCCCCAGGACTGGACCCGCACGCTCCGAACTGTGGCGTTTGGCGGCCTGAGACTCCTGCTCTGTTCTGGATTCCACCCGTACCTTTTCCTCCACCCGCCCAAGGCCGAGGGCTTCGCACACCCGGCTGCACCTGCATCCACAGCTGCACACGGTGCCGCAGAGGTGCTCGTGCCTTCGTCTTCCGCCATGTTGCTATTCGGGTAAGAGGGGCCGAGTGCTTCGTGGGAGCAAGTGCGCTGTTCACACATGTCTCTTTCTGCAAAACTCAAAGCCCACTGCTTCACAAGCCTCTGACATCAGCTATGGGAGCGAGCTCAAAATTCAAACCGGGAAACAAGGAACCGTAAAAGCATGGGTTTACCAGCAATACCTTGATGTGGAAGCCACTCGCAAGTCTTGACTTGTTGATGAAATTATACCCACGGATCCCCCAGCCGATTTCACCGACGTGTTCATGTTTGTATTTTGCCGGCAAGCTTCTGTCGGAGGCGGGTCTCCATAAGTATCAGAGGTCTCCGGTCTTCTCCAACTCTGGACGCTTTTCTCCTATGTAGGAGGTGTGCTGCTGAACTTTAGGTAAATGATCTCTCTTATAATCCGGACCTTTGAGAGACAGAAAAACATCTTAGGAAAATATTCCCCATGCTTTATTCCAAAACACTTTCAACAGCGGGAGCAAAGGTGGCTAATGCTGAGGAACACTTGCCGTGCCCTTAGGTCTGCCTAAGCTTTCAGGCAGGACAACCCCTCTAATCCTTGTTACTGCCCCAGTGAGACGGGGTGCTTCCCTACGTGGGGGAAGTGAGTGAGGACACAAGGGTTGGGTTGTTTGGCTGGAGCTCCGGCTAACGAGCTCTTCACACCGTGCAGGCTGCATCCCCACCACGCTGCTTTGTTTGTGATCAAGTCCCACGACAGCCTCACACAGCGCTGGGGTCTGCAGGAGGCAGGCCATCAGACCCGCGGGGGTTTTACCTAGATGGATGAAATCTGAAATGCTCCCAAGTGCACAGAGGGGTCTGGGGAAAGGCCACTGAGGTGACCCCGGCATTTAAGGCGGGCGATGCTAAGGGGCTGAGGCTCTCTTGAGGGATGGGTGGCTACAAACAGGCTGCAGAGTTCCTGGTCCAGAAAGAAGGTCAGAAGCCCCAGGCCAAAGCTTGGGAGGGTGACACAAAGAAAGTTTCGGTCCTATTTCCCCCTGAAAGTTGACGTAAGACAGAAGCAGGAGCAGCTGTGCTGCAAGCACGGCCGGCTCCCTGGCCCCGGGCTCCCCCACCCGCACCAGGGCTTCGTGCCTGCAGAGTCCCAGTGGATGAGGAGCCAGCGCACTGCCCACCGCGAGACCGGGCCTCCCCGGCCACCCCGGGCAGGCGAGTCGTGCTCAGGGAGTGCTCGCTGCTCCCGAGGAGCAGGCGGGGGACAGGTGTGTTCACAGCCCGGCCTTGGGACAGACGGGGCGCGGCTGGGAGCTCAGCCTTGGAAGTTAGGCTTCTCCGAGCGTCTTGCTCTGTGATCCGTGCAATGAGTTCGCCCCTCTGAGTCCCTCGTTGCAAGATCCTGGATTCCTGTCTTAGTTCTGCCCCCTCTGCACTGTGAGTGGCCTTGGTCACGTCCCCTACTGTCCCCTACTGTCAGCAAACCATAGCACCAGCCGAGTAAACACTTGGTTTTGGAGAATGTGGCTGTGGCACTTACGCTGCACTGTGTTAGCCTGAGTGGCTCAGGCGCGGCCGGAGGACCTGTGGAGCACGCTGGTGGGCGTGTCTGGGGGGTCATGGAGACGGCCCATCGCCTGGCCTGGAGCGGCGATTTTCCTGATGGGTGCGTGGTGGCTTTGGGTTTTTGCCTGCATATAACCGCTCTGGTAAAGTGGAAAACTGTCAGAGCGTGGAAAGCCACTCTCTCCCGGGCTGACAGATGTGAGGACTCCTCCACACAGCCCTGTCGGAGGGAAGTTATGCAATCTCTTCCAAACAGGGGAGGTGCTGAGGCGCTGAGAGAGTCTTGCTGGAATTCAGGCCAGTTCTCCCCAGCTCCCTCCAAACGCTGCTCCCGGGAGGGAGCCCAGTGTGCGTGTTGGGGAGGGGAGCTCCGTGCTCGAATACACCTGGGGCCGCCACCAAAGCATGCGCAGCGAGGAAGGGCCTGTTTGTAAGGGCAGGCAGACCTTGGTACTCAGCGGCCGTGAAGCTCATTGAATCTGGTACTCAACACATCCTGACATGAAGATTTTGGCCCAGTGCTTGACATTTGTTTGGGAGTCGATGTCCAAGCTAGAATTTGTTGGTGCTGGTTGTGTCTTCCAGAACGAGTGCACAAGTGCCAAGGTATCACCGAACACAGCCCACAGCTTCTCAGCTGATTTAGACGGGCATTTCCTCTCCCAGCTGACCCACGTGCAGCCTGCGACACTGAGAGACTGGGGATGTGATTCCCTTCATGTTTCCATTAGCCTGACAATTTTGTCTGCTGACACACTGCCGTAAATGTGAGAGCGCTCTGCGGCCTGCCGTAAACTGTTTACAGAGAGACATTATTTGCTAGCACGTATCATGCTGCTGTAACAGATACCCATGACTGGGTAGTTTATTAAGAACAGAAATGTATTTGCTCGCAGTTCTGGAGTCCAAGAGCAAGCGAGGTGGGCTGAGCGCTGAATGAGAGGGGCGCTCTGCTGTCACCATGGTTCCCGGTGCCACATCCATGCATAGCAAGAGGCAGGAGGGCTAGGGAGCTGTGCACAGCCCTAGAAACCTTTCATGAGCACCTAAATCCTAACACCGAAGGAGGCGCCTTCATGGTCTACCCACCCGTTCAAGGCCCCACCCCTTAGTACCATTGGTACTAAGTACTGTAGTACTTAATGGCCATTAAGTTTCAGTGCCTAATTTTGGGGAAGATGTAGTCAAACCATAGCACCAGCCGAGTCAAAGTGCTTGGTTTTAGAGAATGTGGCTGTGACAGTTAAGCTGCACTGTGTTAGCCTGAGTGGCTCAGGAGCTACCGGAGGATCTGTGGAGCACGCTGGTGGGTGTGTCTGGGGATCATGGAGGTTCCTGGGACCTCAGGAACTATCTCTGGTCCCTGGACCCTTGGTCTCTGGCGCTGCTCCCTGCGGTGCTTCCTGAGCTCCAGGAGCGGAGCAGCTTTGCTCCCCAGGACCCGTCCACCACGATGGTCCTGCCTGGGGCCAGCTCACCATGGGCTGAATCCCCTTACGATGTGAGCCAAATTAAGCCTCCCCTGCTTTAAACTGTGGGGTCTGGCACTGCGCCCGGCAATGGGAAGCCGACTGCTACAGGAGAGGGACGTGTGTGTGTCTGCAGCCCGCACGCGCGTCCAGCCAGGTGCTCCACGGCCGCCGTCCACTCCTGGAGTGTGTCGCAGGCCCTGCCGCCTGATCTGTTTTTGGAAGCAGCGGTGCACACGGCACAGGGCCTGGCTCACGGGAAGACCCTGCTGGGCACCTCCCTGCGAAGCCGAGGCATGTGGCTGCTGTGGACACAGGCAGACCCCACGTTCACAGCAGTGACCTCCACCCAGCCCGAGGATGCCCCAACCTGATGTTACCCACCGAGAAACATCATGCTGTGCTGTCAGTGTGGGTCGTGTTCCCCAAAGGGCTGTGGGCTGCAGGCTTGCTCACAAAGGTGGTGCCCTAGAAGGTGGTGGAGTGTGTAAGGGGTGGGGCCTGGTGGGGGTTTGGGTCAGCGCAGGTGTGGCCTTGAAGGGGATTGTGGGACCCTGGTATCTCAGTCTTTCTCTCTGCTCCCTGGCTCAAGAGATGCGCCCTTTGCTCTGACACACACTCCACACCATTGTTAGTTACAACCTTATCGAAGGCTCGAAGGAAGGGGGTTGCCTGATCTTAGAATGGAACATCCAGAACTGTGAGTCAAACCTTTCCTCTGAACAAGGCCATCCCCTCAGGTATTTTGTTATAGTGCAAAGCTGACTAGCACATATGCTTTCTGTAATAAGTTCTGCAGGCATTTGCAGAACTTTTCCTCTTCCAAATCTCATTCTCCAAAGCTGAGAGTGTGTGCTAGATTGGATTCCCTGCTAAAAGCAGTGCTCCCAGTTCATACCTAAACAATGATCCCTGTTTTCCCCGTCATGTCATCTTTCCAAGTGCTCTTGCTGTACCTCTATGATGTTTCTAGTTTTTCTTGATCCTCTGGTCAAGTTTTCTCGATGCTCTCATCCTGTTTTCATAAACCCAAGCTCTCAGTTTCCAAGAACAAAGTTAGCAGGTCCTAGATCAGTGAAAAGCCCCACGTTTGCATCTTCTGAGAAGTTCTCTGTCGTATCTGGGGCCACTCTGGCAGGACCGCGTCCAGCTGTGACACTGAGGTAGAGCCTGGCGTGGCCAGTCCGTCCCAGCTCTCCCTCCGCTGTGGCAGCCACAGTGCGATGTGGGGGCGGTGCTCCTCCACGAACACCTGCGCCGGGCACTGTGCTTTCACATCCCCCATCCGCCTTCCCGAAAGGCTTGTTTCAAGGTCAGCAAGCCACTCCCAGGCCATCAGCAGGCCACTCCCACGCCCCTACTCGCTCTCCTCTCTGTGGATGCCACGTGATTTGTTCACTTATGCCTGAAAGTCCACACCTACAGGTAAGAATGTGGTTGTGGGACTTGTTTTGGTTTTGGTGCTGGGGATCTACCCCAAGGCCTTATGCCCACACTCAACCACTGAACTGTGCCCCCAGCCAAGAATATGGTGTCTTTGCTTTTGTTTTGTTTTGTTTTGTTTTTGGTGCTGGAAACTGAACTCACGACCTCATGCTTGCTAGGCAGGCGCTGCACCGATGAGCTACGTTCCGGGCCCTGGTGTTTTTGTTTTTGAAAGGCTCTTGCTATCTTACTCAGGCCAGACTCCAACTTGTGATCCTCCTGCCTCAGCCTCCCAAGTAGCTGGGACTACAGGTGTGCACCACCACACCTGGGCCAAAGAATGTGATTGTGAGCTCAGCTGCTGGAGATGGGAATCCAGGCTTTGTCTGCTGCTGGCTTTGTGGCCTGAGGGAAGTTACCCAACTCCTGCATCTCAGATGCCACATCTCAAAGTAAAGATGGCGCTGCCCAGGCGGCAGCACTTTTGGTAAGCGAGGAAAGAAGCTGTTATGTTTGCAAAGTGCTGAGCCTGGCATGTAATTCATGCTTAATCTTACTGGCTTTTTTTTTAAAACCTGGGGCTTTGTCTTGCCTACTGCAATTTTTATTTCTTAGTTTACATCGTACAAGATTTCACTAGTGCATGGCTTACTTCCTATTGTGAACAAACCTCCAGCGCTTCCCTTAGAGGTCCTTGAGATCAACGGTCAGCAAACTTCTGCTGTGATCGACCTGAGCGTAAATTATTTTGGCACTGTCAGGCATAGCATCTGTCTCAACTGTTCAATCCTGGGCTCAGTTATGTCCAGACTGACATAAAATGAGCATGGATATATTCTAATAAAACTTTATAGACACTGAAATTGTAATTTCACGTGCCATGAAATATTAGTCTTGCCTTTTTCCTCCACCGTTTAAAAAATTCTAAACTATTCTATGCGCATAAGCCCTAAAGATAGGAAGCAGCAGGACCCATCCAGAAGTA